CTACCTCGCATTTTTAACGATTTTTTTCTACGAAGTCAAAAAAAAAAAAAAAAAAAAAGAAAAAGAAAAGAAAAAGAAATATGGATCGACTTATATATGTATATCTTTTTGTAACTTGAATATGTACTTTTTTCACTTGACTTTGCTGCTGTTAATATGTCTCGTACTATTAAAAAATAAACTGAATTCCTTATATTATTATTATCAACCTTTTTAACTGACTTTACTTGAATTATATGCGTGTGATTTTGTCTGTGCTTTTGTGTGTCTTTTTATCTGTGTTTATATGTGTGCATTTGTTTGTCTCTCTGTATGCGTGTATGTTTATGTATGTTCGTATGTTTGCGTCTTCGCGTGTATATGTGTACATGTGTTTGTCTGTATCTGTGTATGTATTTACGTAATTGTTTATATTCATGTCTTCGTGTTTGTCTCTCTCTCTTCTCTCTCTCTTCTCTCTCTCTCTCTCTCTCTCTCTCTCTCTCTCTCTCTCTCTCTCTCTCTCTCTCTCTCCTCTCTCTCTCTCTCTCTCTCTCTCTCTCTCTCTCTCTCTCTCTCTCTCTCTCTCTCTCTATCTCTCTCTCTCTCATCTCTCTCTCTCTCTCTTCTCTCTCTCTCTCTCTCTCTCTCTCTCTTCTCTCTTCTCTCTCTCTCTCTCTCTCTCTCTCTCTCTTTCTCTCTCTCTCTTCACATGTATTTGTCTCTATACGTGTGTATGTTTATGTATATCCCTATGTATGTGCCTTTGTTTCCAGATACATGTGCGCAAATGTTTGTGTGTATGTCTGTACATATACGGATAGCTATGTATGTGTGCGTTGTTGTCATCTCTTCAATGCGTAAGTGTGTATGTGTTATAGTTACCTCTTCGCTATTCTTTGCTTTCTCATCAAATCACGTTTACATTGGCTGTTCTTATAGCTAGGTCGGCGTGCATCTGTTCATGTTCTTTAGTGATTCAGAGTCATGAGTGATTATAAAACTTTCAAATTTGCTTTGTTGTGCAATGTGTATTTGTGTGCGTGTGTGGGTGAATATGTGTGTGTATGTGTATATGTATGTATGTGCGTGTATGTGTGTGTGTGTGTGTGTGTGTGTGTGTGTGTGTGTGTGTGTGTGTGTGTGTGTGTGTGTGTGTGTGTGTGTATGTGTGTGTATGTGTGTGTATGTGTGTGTGTGTGTGTATGTGTGTATGTGTGTGTGTGTGTGTATGTATGTGCGTGTATGTGTGTGTGTGTGTATGCGTGTTTGTGTGTATATGCGTGTATGTGTATATGTGTGCGGGTGTCTGTGCGTGTATGTAGAGACACCTGTGCACAGATAATAAACTTTAAAAACGTATCTGTAACGGAAACTTAAATAGGTAATTTTCAAATCATTATTTACATGGGAAACATGCTCTTCTTGAATTGAAGTGTAAGCTTTATCTATGCATATACCAGATTGTACATACACAGAGTATTGCTCATTATATAATCTTCATAATGTGATTATACTCCTTTGTTAACGTTATTTGATATCATGTATCTATCTGTCTATCTATCAGTCTATCAATTTATCTATTCTCTATCTATCTATCACTCTTTCTCTCTTTCTCTATCGATCAATCAATCAATCAATCTCTCTCTCTCTTCTCTCTATCAATCAATCAATCTTTCTCAATCTCATCAATCTCTCTCTCTCTCTCCCTCTCTCTCTCTGTTTCCCTCTCTCCCCCTCTCTCTCTCTCCCTCTCTCTCTCTCTCTCTCTCTCTCTCTCTCTCCTCTCTTCCTCTCTCTCTCCTCCTCTCTCCCCCCCTCTCTCTCTCTTCTTCCCTCCCTCCTCTCTCCCACTCTCACCCTCCCTCCCCTCTCCCCCTCTCCCTACCTTCCTCCCCCTCTCTCTCTCTCTCATTCGCCACGCCCACTGACACGCCCCTTCCTCCTCCTCCACAGGACCCGCGATCTCGAGAAGGAAGGCATGAAGGAATGGCTCGACATGATGCTGGAGAAGGTGTCGATGCGAGTGTCCGACGACACCGTGGTCAGCTCCAAGGACAAGGAGTTCAAGGCCACGGAGAAGAAGAAGCTCCAGGCTCTCATCGACCGCCACGACAAGCTCATGCCCCCCACGCAGGAGACGCAGGCGAAGGTGGACGTGTACGCGAGGTGCTACGCCTACGGTGACGACATCAGCCAGACCCTGAAGACGCTGGAGGAGATGCGTCACCTGTCCGTCAAGGAGATCCATCCCCACAACATGAACATGGTGGAGGAGCAGATCGAGAAGGCTGATAAGGTGAGGTTCTTTGGTGGTTTTTGGTTCTTTTTGGGGGGGTTTCTTGGGGTCTTTTGGGTTTTTGGGGTCTTTTGGGGGTTTCTTGGGGTCTCTTGGAGGTCCGGGAAGTCTCTTAGGGGTCCCAGGGGTCTAGAGGGGTAGGGTGGCCTTCGTAGTTTGTTTTTTTTAATTCATTTTATTTATTTATCATTTGTTTTAGAAATAACATTGATTTCGTTTAATCCTGTTTTAGGGGGTGAGTAATGTTGATTGGGTTTTCATCCTGTTTTTAATTTTTTTTTCAGGGATTTCTAGCCATCATAAATAGGTTTAATCCTGTTATTAATCCTATTATAAGGGGGGTTCGATAAAAAACTCTATGTTTATGGTCCTTCTTAATTCGTGGATCGGTTCAATTCGGTCTGTTCGAAGCCAACGGATCAAGAACTTTCATTTGTGCATTTCATTCCTTTAAAATAAAAGGTTGACTTCACCTAATCTCACCTAACCTCACTTGACTTCACCTAACCTCACTTGACCATTTAATCTCACCTAACCTCACTTCCCATCACCTGATCTCATCAAACCTCATTTCCCATCACCTAACCTCACCAAACCTCCCCTTCATCACCTAACCTCACACCTCACCTCACCAAACCTCACTTCCCATCACCCGATCTCACCTAATCTCTCTCTCCTCTTCCCCCTTCCTCTCTCCACCTCAGGTCATCGCCACCGTGGAGTCCCAGCGGGAACAGTACGAGGAGCTCCTCAAGCGTGGCAAGAAGCTGCTCCAGAACCCCAACAAGGCTCCTTTCCTCACCGAGCTCATTGAGAAGATGGAGAACACGTGGAAGGAGGCCAACGAGAAGTCCAAGGAGAGGCACACCATGCTCTGCAGTGAAGCGGGGGGGTGGGGAGGATGGGGAGGTGGTGGGGAAAGGGGGAGGTGGGGAGGGAAGGGGAGGATGGGAGGGGTGGGGATAAGGGGAGATGGGGAAGGGGGGGAGGAGGGGATGAGGGATAGGGGTTCTGCAGTGAGTAGGGGTAGAGGATGGGGAGAGGAGAGGGGGAGAAGAAGGGGAAGGGAATGAAGGGTAGAGGGAGGGGGATGAAGGAAGGATAGGGTTGGTAAGAAGGCACATCCATGCTCTGAGTGACTAAGGGAATTTGGGAGGAGCAGTGCAATGAGCAGGGGAGTTGGGGAACGAAAGAAGGGAATAGGAGGAAGGGAAGGAAGGAAGGAAGGAGGGTGTGCGAAAGTTAGACGTGAACTTTCAGCTAAACTTGTAATCTGCTGTTTTTTATTTTTATTTACTTTGTTACCCGGATTAGAGTTATGAGATTTACATTTAGATATTCGATCTTTTATTTTTTTTAAATCTATGGCTAGTCTATTTACCTACGTCTCTATTAATTTCTTAGATCCAATCTATTTTTTTTTCATGAGAGAGATATACACACACTTTCTCTGTACCTAATTCTATAGCCTTTATGCACTTTTTCCCAATTTTACCCTATCACCTAAAACAAGAGAGAGAAAAAAAAAAAACAAAAAAAAAACTCAAATTTCTATCGATCCTTTTCAACATCCTCTTCACTGCATTCTTTCACTTCTCTCTATCTCCTCTTTACTCTGCTTTTCACCCTCCAACTAAAAAAAAAAAAAAATGCAACAGTCACTGGTATATCTTCTCTCCGTTTTCTTTTCTTTCCGTTTTCTTTTCTTTCTCCTCCCCCTACGCCATCATCAAGAGAAAAATATCCTCGGATTCTCACACTAAAATCTCTTACTTCATTTTTATCTCCTCTTTGCTTTTCCTTCCTTCTTCTCCCTTACTTCCCCCAATAAAAAAAAAAAGAAAAAAACGAACCTCACTTTAAAATATTTTGCAGAATCCCCCTAGAGAGAGAGAGAGAGAGAGAGATAGAGAGAGAGAGAGAGAGAGAGAGAGAGAGAGCGAGAGAGAGAGAGAGAGAGAGAGAGAGAGAGAGAGAGAGAGAGAGAGAAGAGAGAGAGAGAGAGAGAGAGAGAGAGAGAGAGAGAGAGAGAGAGAGAGAGAGAGAGAGAGAGAGAGAGAGAGAGAGAGAGAGAAGAGAAAGAAAGAGAGAGAGAGAGAAAAAGAGAAACGTTCTTTACCCTCCCACGCCTCTCTCTCTCTCTCTCTCCTCTCTCTCTCTCTCTCTCTCTCTCTCTCTCTCTCTCTCTCTCTCTCTCTCTCTCTCTCTCTCTCTCTCTCTTTCAAAAAAAAAAAAAAAAAAAAAATCCCGTCATATCCTCACTCTCGACCTATCTCGAAAAAAATCACTTCCTCAATGTTATTTCTCTCTACTTCATCTTTTCTCCTACTCTCTCCTCTTTCCTCAATTAAAAAAAAAGTGGATTCCTGCCAAATTCTCACTCTGTATCCTGCTCTTATCATTCCTCTCTCTCTCATCTCCCATTCCTCCATTTTCTCTCTCCCTCAAAAGAGAAAAGAAAAAGAAAATGAAAGATAAAAATACATTTCCTGCCAAAATCACACTCCAAATCCCCTTATCCCTCTTTCTCTCCCTCAAAAAAAGTATCAATTTCCCGCCAACGTTTCACTCTTCTCCCCTCCTCCTTCCTCCACCCTCCCCTCAAAAAAAAAAAAAAAAAAAATCACTTTCCCACCAAATTCTCTCTCCCCTAAAAAAAAAAAAAAACACTTTCCCCGGCGACTTCTCATTCCCTTAAAAAATAAAAATTTCCCAATTTCTCCCCCCCCAAAAAAAAAAAAAATTCCCACCAAAAAAAAAAAAAAAAAACAAATTATGATAATAAAAATAAAAAAAAATCTTTTCCGCTTTTTCCCCCTCCCCCCTCAAAAAAAAAAAAAAAAAAAAAAAAAAAAAAAAAAAAAACTCCCTTCCCGACGGCCTTCTGACTCCCCCCCGTCCACTCCCGCCAGACTCCGCCAAGGACTGGGAGAAGTACGACGAGATGCGCTCCGCCATCAACGGCCCCATCGAGAAGCTGGAAACCGAGTTCAAACGCTACAGGAAATTCTACGACCCCGTCATGGGCGCCAGGAAGCTCGCCCAGAAGCTCGAGATCTGGGAGGAGGAGAAGAAGAAGGCCGACGAGATGTTGGAGACCATCAAGAAGTGCTACCAGACCATCATCGTCCTCGCTGGTGACGACAAGAAGGAATTCCTGGACAAGGAGGTGGGGCTCGGGTGGCGGGCGATCGCCTTTTGTTTTTTTTTTTTAGGTTTTTGCGCTCGTTTTTTTTTCGTTTTTTTTCCTGTTTCTTTGTCTCCTTTTGTTTATTTCTTATGTTTTTTCTTAGTCTCGTTTTACTTATTTCTTTTTTTTCTTTTTCTTAGTCTCATTTTACTTATTTCTTTTTTTTTTCTTTTTCTTAGTCTCCTTTCTTTTTTTTCCTTTTCTTAGTCTCTGTTTACTTTTTTTTCCTTTTTCGTAGTCTCCTTTTACTTATTTCTTTTTTTAGTTATTAATTCATGCTATATACATGCTTTACATAAATGACCCTTAAACTTTTTTATCATTATATCCCTTCTATTACTCGTTCGTTACTCCTAAGCTGCTCTCCTCACTTCTCCAGCCAGAAAAAAACCTCAAAATTCAAAAAGTAAACAAATAAATAAATAAAGGAAGAAGAAACACGAAAACAAAGCTCTAAACCTATTCTCCTCCTCCTCTCCCCCCCCCCCTCCAGGTCGCCGACGTCGAGGAGAAGCGCACCATCATCGAGAAGTGCAAGGCCAAGCTCGACAAGCTCTTCGAGTACAACGAGAAGCTCACCAAGACCGTGAACCACGCCAAGGAGCTCAAGGACTGGGCCACCCCCGTGAACGCCAAGCTCGAGGAAATCACGACCTCAGCCGACCTCAGCCCCGAGGACCGCGTGAGGGAGATCCTCATCCTCCAGGAGCAGGCCCAGGTCAAGTTCCCCGAGGTCGAGCCCCTGAACAAGGAATACAAGGCCCTTCTCACAGGTACGGAAAGGTGGGGTGGGGGTGGGGGTGGAGGGAGAAGGTAGGGGGTTGGGTGATGGGGGGAAGGGGTGGGGGAGAAGGTAGGGGGGGGGAGGGGATGGGGGGGGGGGATGGGAAGGGTGGGGGAGGGTGGGGGGGAGGGGGGGTGGGATGGGGGAGACGAAGAGAGATCGAGAGAAAAGAAGAGATTGAGAGGGAGATTAAGAAAATGTGTGTGTGTGTGTGTGTGTGTGTGTGTAGAGAGAGAGAGAGAGAGAGAGAGAGAGAAGAGAGAGAGAGAGAGAGAGAGAGAGAGAGAGAGAGAGAGAGAGGAGAGAGAAGAGAGATAGAGAGGATAGAGATAGATAGAGAGATAGATAGATAGATAGATAGATAGATAGAAAGGAGGGGAGACAGAAAAAGAGAGAAATTTTCTTAGAACTAAGTTTACTAGGATAATTTCCAGAAAACGAAAAAAAGGCATCTTCTTTTGATTACCTTATCCTCCATACAGTATAAGGCATGCCATTACACCAGTCTGGTGACGTCTCATAATCAAACTTAAAGTATCTTAAGTAAGAAATGTATAGATATTTAAGGAAAATCTCCAGTAGATAGACATTCTTATATTTTCACGTCAGGCTGTACCCCCCCCCCCCACGCATGCAAATCTACTCCACAAAAAAGGTAAATTTCTGAAACCTTAACTCCATTGTTTAGTTTAAATATCCTTATTGCATGGGAGTCTAGTATAAAAAAAGGTATAGCTGATAGTCCCTGTAGCTTAGCAGGATTATTTATATCTATATGCACATGGATTGTAAACCTTGTTCTAAACTTGTGTGTTTATTTAGCTCGTTGAAACCAAACTGACCCAATCCAATTTTTCTTACCAAAAAAAAAACAAAAACAACAACAGCAGAACCTCGTCAGCACAACCTTTCCTTCCACTCACTTTCTTCATTTTCCCAATTCCTCTTTTTCTTCCAATCGTTTGTTTTCTCACCTTCATCTGCTTGGTTCTCCACCCTCTTGTCCCTTTTCCGTTTCCAAACCCTACGTCCTTTCCAGTTTGGGTAAAATTCCTTGGGTTTCCCCTTTCCCAACGGCTTCCTGTGACCCCCATGGTTTGAGTCGCCGGTGAGGACAGCTCTTCGGGAAACGTAAGTCTTGAAGAAAGATCTTTGCCAACTTATCGACGTTTTTTTTTTATTTTCTTTCCGTTTTCTTTCTTGCGTTTATTTGCCACATGAGTAACCCGCTGTTATGCGCTGTTGCCA